CTAATTGCGAATCGCAATAAGCCAATATTTCCTTAGCTCCAACTCCTTGTGCTAATCGAAGTCCGGCAATCAGGGCTTCGTATTCTGCCTCGTTGTTGGAGGCATTGAATAACAACCGGAATGACTGTTCTAGAATTTCTGACGTTGGAGACTCCAAGTTGATTCCCACTCCGGATCCTTGTTTTGTTGAAGACCCATCTACGTGTAATTTCCAAGTTTGGTTCTCCGGTTGTTCTATCGTTCCAGGTATTGGTAGTTCGGTCAGGAAATCTGCTAAGACCTGAGCCTTCATACTGATCCGGCTTTTGAACTCTATGTCGTACTCGCTTAATTCCACCGCCCATTTCGCCAATCGTCCGGACTGGTTTGGACTATGAAGTATTGTTCGGAGTGGCTGGTTGGTTAATACCTCAATCGGATGGGATTGAAAGTACGGGCGCAGCTTCCGAGCCGATATCACCACCGCGAGTGCGAGTTTTTCCATCATTGTGTATCTGGTCTCCGGATCCGTCATTGACTTGCTCACGTAATAAATTGGTTTCTGCTCCCCACGGTCTTCCCGAACCAAGACTCCACTAACCGCGTGGTTCGAAACCGACACGTATAAATAAAGTTTTTCATCCACTTCCGGCTTGGACAATATAGGCGGAGTGGTTAAGTATGCCTTAAGCTGCCCAAAAGCTTCTTCACACTTCTCATCCCAAAGGAATCCTTTGTTCCCTTTCAGAATTTGGTAGAAAGGCAACGACTTATCTGTTGATCTCGAGATAAAACGATTCAGAGCCGCAATCTGCCCAGTCAACCGTTGTACTTCTTTGAAGTTTCTTGGAGAGGGCATGTTCAGAAAGGCGTTAATTTGATTTGGATTGGCTTCGATTCCTCTTTCTGTCACGATATAACCAAGAAATTCTCCGGATGGGACTCCAAATGTGCACTTCGCCGGGTTCAGCTTCATTTGATATTTATTGAGAATATCAAAACATTCCTCTAAATGCTTAACGTGATCCTCTTTCTTTAACGACTTAACCAACATATCATCTATGTAGACTTCCATTGTTTTCCCGAGATGATTATGGAACATCTTGTTAACCAACCGTTGATAAGTTGCTCCTGCATTTTTCAAACCAAAAGGCATCACTTTATAACAATAGATACATCTATCTGTGATAAATGACGTCTTTTCTTGATCTTCGGGGTTCATCACTATTTGATTATAACCCGAGAAGGCGTCCATGAATGTTAACAACTCGTTCCCAGCGGTGGACTCTACAAGTCGATCTATATGCGGGAGTGGGAAACTATCTTTGGGACATGCTTTATTTAGGTCTGTGAAATCGATGCAAACCCTATCTTTCCCATTCTTCTTTTTGACGACGACAGTGTTTGCTATCCATTCCGGGTATTGCACTTCTCTTATGGATCCTATCTTCAAAAGTTTATCTACTTCGTCATTTACTATTTTGGCTCGCTCCACTCCGAGCTTTCTTTTTTTCTGTTTCACCGGCTTGAAGCTCGGATCTACATTTAGCTCGTGACAAATTATACTTGGATCTATACCAGGCATGTCTGCTGCTGACCATGGAAACGATGTTTTGTTTCTCTTTAAAAGTTCGATCAAAGCTTCTTTTATCTGGCCAGTCAGAGTTGCTCCAATTCGAATTTTCCGGTCCGGCTTGTCTTCTTCCAACACCACTTCGATTACTACATCATCTTTCTTCTGCCCGCTAGGAAATTTTGTTCTTAGTCCCTCTTTTGCGGGCTTCGTTAATTGCTATTGAATCTTCATACGGTGGCTAGCTAGGTAACACGTCCGTGAAGCTTCTTGATCTCCCCGAATTGTTTCCACCCCATTTGATGTTGGAAATTTGATACATTGATGGTATGTAGAGGGGACTGCTTTCATTCGATAAATCCAGGGAGTCCCAAGGATGATGTTGTAAGCTGCGGGTTTATCGAAGACAACGAAGTCCACGATCTTCGATACCTTCTTGGCAAGGACCGGTAGCTTGATTGTTCCGAGAGACATGGCTGACTCGCTTGTGAACGCAACTAACGGAGATGGGGGTCCTACTATGTCTCCTCGGCTGATTCCCATTCTTTCTAGAGTACTTAAAAAGATCAAATCGACCGAACTGCCTGTATCTATAAGGATCCTTGATACTTCGAAGTTAGCCACGTCAAGGGTAATGACTAGAGCATCATCATGCGGTCTTTCGAGGTACCGCGTTTCTTCTTCATTAAATGATATCGATGCACCTTGAAAATCGACTTCCTCGCTTAAGCTTGCTTTGAGTAGGATATTTCGTCTATGTTTCTTGATGGAACTTATCGAATCTCCGCAAAACTTGGAACCTCCTAGAATCACATTGATCTTACCCTTCGAACTCCTTGGTTCTTCCTCGTTGGATAACCTTGGTCTTTTGGAATCTTGATCTTTGGAGTTTTCCTTCGCTTCGTGATATTCCTTCATAAAATCTTTTATATCGAATTTGGAAAGATCTCCACTGGCCCAAAGCTCTGCGAGGTCCTTTTTAAGAACGCTGCAATCCTTGGTTAAATGCCCGGTTACTTTATGAATATCGCAATATAGACTTTCATCACGGACCCAAGTGTTTGATCTTCCTTTCCCTTGGAATTGCTTTCCGACGGTACTGTTGAAGGGTTGCGACCCAAACTTCCTTGGTCCTTTGCTCTCCCTAGGCTCGAACTTCTTGGTAGGGACGGTGATTGCCGGCTTTTCTTGTTTATTCCTTTTGGCAAAACTTTCTTTTTCGTCCTCTACCTCCATCCAGTTATTCGCGCGGAAGAGTGCATCCTGAATTGTGTCTGGTTTATGAAGTATTAAGTCTTCTTTAAACCTTGAATCATGTCGCAATCCTTTTCGTAGGGCAGATAAAGCTGATTGCTGTGAGATTCTTGGGAGTTTTGACAGCACTCCTTTGAATTTGGTGATGAAAACTCGAAGTGACTCATTAGATCCTTGCGATAAGTTCCAAAGATCGGCATCCGAAACACTTTTATCCATAAGGATGGAGTATTGCTTTAAGAATACAGCTGATAGTTCGTCGAAATTGCTGATCGAACCCGGCTCTAATTGGGTGAACCACATTAGAGCTTGGCCACATAGATTCTCCGAAAAAAGCTTGCAGTAGCCTGCGTCCTCATCAGCTTCATCCAATTCGACTCTTCCAGCAGTGATCAGAAAAGCTGCGAGATAGCTTTTTGGATCCTCCAATCCGCTGTAAGGGTCCAACTTGAGTTTCCGGGAATCTTTGATCCTCAGACTCGCAATTCGCGAGATGAAAGGTGTTCGCCTAGCTTCTTCAATGACTCGATTGATGTCTGGCTCCAAACTTGTAGCTTGATGAAATTTTGATTTCATTTCTTTTAATTCCTGGCTAACCTTCCTCATGGTCTCGAACTGGTCGAGGTTCTCCTGCTCGTACTGAGCTGCAAGTTGTTCTTCATCCCCGAGCTGTGTCTCTTCTTCCAACGTCTGAGCTACATTATTAGTAGCACCGGGAGTTGTTTGTCCGCTGGTTTCATTTCGTGCAGCGGAACTTGGCGAGTTGAATATCCCTCTTCGGATTCCCACAAGGTTTCCTGCACTTAAAGAGCGAACACGAGTTTGTATAGTATTGACGTTTTGACTAAGAGATACTTGGGATGTTTGCAACGTATCGACGGCCTTTTCCACATCCGAGAACTTTTGTGATATGTCCGACATGGTTTGCTGCATAGCTTTGAGGGTTTCGGCCAATGATGTCTCAACGGTGTCTCCTCCGGACATTGTTGCTTATCTCGGAAGTGTAGTAAAGAAAAAATCTGACCACTCAAGAATCCTAATTCTCCCCACAGACGGCGCCAAAATGAGGATGTCGGATTCACACACTCAAGTATTTTATTAAGTAGGAAAGATTATTCTTGAGGGACAAAAATGAATAGGTAAAAAACTTCTAAATTGCTACGAAAATTGCTATAGTATTTCTTTCTTGAGAAGAAGATCCCTTTACATGGCCATTGGCCTTTATATTTATACTTAGAGAAACGACATTAAAATGAGTAATTAAGTACAATTATTCCTTCTTAAATGTGTCCGTTTTGATTCCTTGACTTTAATGCTCAACGTTTGAATTTGAGTTGACTCTGATCTTCGTGGGCCTCGCCTTTTCGGCCCAAGCGTCCTTGAACCGTCTTACCCGTGTCTTCTACATCAAACTCATGTCACAATGCAGTCACTTCGGACTCTCGAAGTGGTGACAACCACTTCGACCGTTCCTTCGGCTCATGGGTCCGATGGGCTTCATCCTTTATGGGCCATTATCTTGACTACGTGGCAATCTTTGGTTGGTCTCGTACTTCTGGTGCGGGATCCGACACCAACATCTGCTTCATCTAACCCTGGGTTTGAATCCTCTTGTTCTTCCACCCCGTCGACAATCCCCTGCTGCTCCAATACTCCCTTTTCAAATTAACGTGCAGAATTATTTAAATGTACGCATACAATCCTATGTACGTATGTTAATAACTGTGTATAATTTTAAACCAAACACGAGATTTTTACCTCCTTTACATTAGCTGCATCCACATCCATGGAGGCTTTCGTTGCCAACTCCTGTAACACCTGCATAATAGAAGATTATAAATTTAAACAAGCCTACACTATTTTATTTAAAAATATAGTTAGCTTACATTCTTAACTACTGCAAATGGTGAAGGGGGATCCCCTAGGGTGCCCTCAAGTACGAAGTCATCCACTTTACTCTCTGCAACTACATTGGGTACATCTCCCGCATCAACCTGTGGCAGTAGTTATCAACTTCATCGGCTATATCCTCTATTTTGTGATGTCTGAAACAATCATTACTTATACGTACACAAGAAATAAGAAAGATAAATGTACGTACACTTACACCGGGTTCCTCGGTGTGTTCAGCCTGAGAAGATGTATCTCTATCATTATCCTCAGAAATTTCTGCTTGCTCTCCAACATTTGCTTCACTCTCAAGACCGGCACCCTGTTCTTCTCCCTGAAACAAATATACCATACACGTCTTAAGCTTTATGTGAGTACACATATGGAAAACTACATTTGACTATTAGCAGACCATATACCTGTCCAGATGTTGCAGGTAAACCTGATGGATTTTCTACCATCTCTGTGTCAGCAGTTGGTTTTTCATCTGTCCCTCGCTGTGTACCAACTACGACAGGCTCACCACCATCATTTGGTCCTTTATCCTAAAACATAGTATACCATACACTTCTTAAGCTATATGTACGTGGAGAACTGAAAATAATTGATACGCGTACACTTATGGAAAACAGTATGTGACTATTAGCACAAGACATACCTGTACAGAGGTTGAAGGTACAGGAGATGGAATTTCTTCCATCTCTGTGTCAGCACTAGCTTTTTCCTCGGTCCCTGACTGTGTACCAACAAGGACAGACTCACCACCATCACGTGCTCCTTCATCCTGAAACATAGTATACAATACACTTCTGAAGCCTATGTGTACGTACACAACTGGAAATAATTGATAAAAATATTTGTACATGACATACCTGATGGGAAGGTGTAGGTCCACCAACTGAAATGTTAGCTACTCCAGTGTCAACCATATCTTCATCTCTGTTCGAAAAATCTCCTCCATTATTTGCAGTAAAACCACCTTCATTGTTGGCTTCATCCTGTACCATAGCAGACAAGTTACAGTTATTAATCTTAATGTACGTACATTTAAAATACTATATATAAATGTACGTACATGCCATACCTGGTCATCTTCCTCAGAGGAAGAGTTACCATCAGAAAGCTGAGTAATCTCCGCAACTGACGTCATTATATTCTTCAGCCTTGAAGACTTTCTTGTTCCAGACTCGAAGACTTTCTTCTGGTGCCAGACCCAGAAAAGGACAAAAAGCTATATAGGGGGGTGGGTGTTGGTGGAGTCTGGGCAGACCGAGGGTACCTCCCTACTCGGTTCCGGACGTGGGTAGCGATCGAGGGATATTATCGGGTGTCAACACGAGGAATGACCGGAAGACTTTCCGACCGCCGGAATTATCGCCGGAAAATTTTTCCGGCGACTTTTCCGGCGATCGGTTTTGTTGCAGTTTTCGGAGTTTTTTCAGCAGTTCTCGGACAAAAATGC